GGGGTTGGCAAGTTGTCCACCTTCCTCTCAGTTCTTGACCATGGCCAAAAATATCAGCTCATCTAACTAGTACTGACCTCCTATGCAACTCTGTCCCATCCGGTTCTCTATTCCTTTTCTTTCTGCTGCTCCCCTCTATCTCAATCCTTTTCTCTAGGGAACAATGTCTTTTCCTCTAAGCCTCACCTTCCCAGAGTCACTGCTGCCTCTGCAACCTCCAGATGTGAGGTGGAAGACTACCTTGCTCCTTGATTCAGCTTCCAAACTATTGCTTCCTATCATTTCATAAAACTCCCTCTTCCTTTGAAGTTCATGCCATGCCTCTATGCCTTATCATGTCCCTTCATCACTGTCATCTATGTACCATATACTGGTAAATACTGGTTGAATGGTTGACTCTGAATAATTGACTGGTTCAATAAAAGCTGTTTTCTTGGTCACTCTTTTTCATTTATTTCAGGCTATGGTGCAGGCTCATTACATTTCTTTCTACGCCTTTTCCTGTTAGGATCCTTGGTGAAGTGTCCATGGAGAACTAAACAAAAACCCCAGTTTCCTCACAATCCCTTGGTCTTTAAGTGACTTAAACTCCTCTTCACGCACTTCAACTATACCAAGCAGATCTAGAATTGCTTTATGTCTGACCACAACTTTGTATGCATTTAGCTCTCTCATGCTCTACCTTACCCAATTCCTTGATACATTCAATTTTCCCTAATCTTTTCCTGGCTGTGCTTCCCTCTTTATACATCTTAAACCACTATTTTCAAATAAACTCAACACCCTCTACCCTCCTGTCTCCCTTTAGTCTTGCCTAATTCATTTGGAAGCCTGGATCACAATCTACCTCTTTTTTTTTTTTTTTTGAGGCCTGGTACCACTTCCCAGTGTTTCTCTCTGTAGGATCTTCAACAGCTACACATGGCTTTTCTTGGCTCTTAATCAGCTATCTTTATCACAGCTCCAAGTCATTTCCCACAAACCACTAACCTTACTCTGCCTCACTCACAGTGGATAACCTTGTTTCCTCCTTTATCAGATATGGAATTCCTCCATTTTCTGTCTTCTCCACCTATGAACTGGATTACTTGTGAAAGCAGCCTAGTGCTTTCTTCCTGCATCAGCACCAGCTTTTCATTCCTATTCCACAGCCAGTCTTTCATAGGACTCCAGACCCAGTTCTCTTCTACTGCCTCTGGGCCCTTATTTCCTCAATTATTTCACTCAAAAAATATTTTTCTGGAGGTTTACTATGCCCTGGGCCCAATTCTAGATGCTAGTATATGGGAGGGAAACCAAGACAGACAAAATCCTGTCTCTCACTGGGGAATAGGGATTAGGGGTGGGGTGTGAAGAACAGACAATAAACAAGCGAACGCTTCAAAACAAAGAAGATATTTTCTCTTTTCATAGATCTCTCTTTTTTTGTTGTTTAGACAGGGTCTTGCTCTGTCACCCACGCTCTGGAGTGCAGTGGCGCAATCATGGCTTACTGCAGCCTTGACCTCCTGGACTGAAATGATTCTCCTACCTCAGCCTGAGTAGCTGGGACTATAGGCACAAGCCACTACACCCAGTCAAATTTTATTTTTTGTAGAGATGGGGTTTCACCACGTGTCCCAGACTGGTCTCAAACTCCTAGGCTCAAGCGATTCTCCTGACCTGTCCTCCCAAGTGCTGGGATTACAGTTTCGAGCCACCATGCCTGGCTTTTTCAGAGATCTCATTCATGGAACAGGGTGGGGAAAACTGTGTTGATTTTTGAAGTAGGAACTCAGACTGGTTTGAGAAGTAAACCTCTCCATTAGTTCTGCCCCGCCTCCAATGTCTAATGACAGCCATCTAATCTTCCTTGCCCCTGCACTGTCCTCTAGCTACATCGTTCTTCTTCCTTACTCAAAGATCACTCTATACCTGCTATCTCCATATTCCTTGTTTTTATTTAGTTATCTTTTCAGTTGAAAAAGTAATGCATATATTAAAAACAAACAAACAAACAAACAAACAAAAAACCCAACAACAAAAAGCTGAAGAAAAGACTACTGTATTTCTTAACTGTCTATTCACTCTGCAACCCACCATAATCCAGCTTCTGCTCAACCAGTCCATTGAATCCACCCTGGCAAAGGTATCCAATGACTGTCCCTCCACAGTTCCCAAAGTGAGTGGACTTTTCTAACCTTGTGTTACTGTTCTGGGCACTACTGACCTTCTTCTCTCTGCCTGGCTCCAGACAGTTCTCTGGGGTTACAACACAAGTTAAGCTCTTCCTTGGCTTTTTCTCCTCTGGTGCCTCTGAAATGCTGATGTTAAACCCAGTTTCACCTTTGCCCATGTTCTCTTTCCATATGTACCCACCTTAGGTAATAGGACCATATAATTTTTATGATCCTAATGTAATGTCTTTGAGAGTGAAAAAGGACAAATAATTACTATTATGGGATAGCAGGTGTAAACCAAGACTATCCCAAACTCTGATATATAGTCACCCTATTCTGCATCTGTGGTTATGGTTTTAACAAACACCTGTTAATCATTTGCAAAATTAAATCTGTAGCCTTGATATTGACATTTAACTTTATTTTTCAAATCTTTAGGTTATAATTTCTTATAAATATCTCAAAACTCAGCAAAGTCAAAGCCCAGTTAATTATTAATATTCCTAAAACTTCTTAATCCTTGTATTTTCTGTCCAAGTTAATAAATATCACCCAGTCACTCATACCTCCAAGCTGGAGACTCTTCTAGATTTTCCATTCTCCCTCTCCTATCATATTTAATCACTAAATCATGCTAACTTTAGCTCTGAATAATTCTCTGATCCACTGTTTTTCTCCCGAACTACCGTCATAACTGTTATCTGATGCCTTTGCTCTTGTCTCCTTTGACTTCATCTTCCCCATTGCCACTAAAGTGATCTACAAGTGATCACATTTCTGCTTTGGACATTTCAATAGCTCCCTATCACTTACTATAGAAAGACTGTCATCATGACCCTTCTGTTTCTTTCTTTAGTCTCATAACTTGAGGCTAGTCTCTCTCTCTCTCTCTCTTTGTACTCTAATAATACCAAACAGCTTGTAGAAACACATTGATATACACATCCCCAATAAGCTGCTTTTCACTTCCAGGCCTTTGTTCATGCTGTTCCTTCTGCGTTGTATGCAGATCCTCTTATTTGGCTTGCCAACATCTGCACAATTTTCTCTATTCACTCACGGCAGCCCAGAGGGGAGCTAGGTGTCTCTCCTACACTACCTATCCACATCCCAACTATAGTACCAAATATGTTCATTTGAAAACATTTATGTCAGTCTTCCCTAATAGCTGGTAAACTTCTTGAGAACAGGAGAAGTGATCTGTAAATACCTGACAAATATTCATTCTATTTTTAGGAGATCTCATCCACTGTTACAGACTTAAATAACAAAATTAAAATAAGTTGGGTTAATATTGAAATAAATAAATCACTTCATTACTTCTGTATTTTTTCACATTTTATAAAGTCATCAGTGAAAAGATGAAAAATGTGTAAGGACTTCAGCTGCCAAAAAATTTGCCATGTTTTATACAATGATAAAAGTAGGTCTTAGAATAGGAGACAGGATGATTAAATTAAAAATATATAGTGGTAATGTGCCAAAGTCAAAAAACAGCAAATTGTAAACTGTTTACAATTACAGAAAATCATAATACTTTTCAGCAGTTGTTTGCTTTGGAAAGTTTTGCATAAATATTATCCAAAGCATTTTTTTTTCTAGAAGAGTTTTCTCATTCCTTTTATTTTTATTTATATTTAAAAATACAACTCAGAGGTTAGTATTGAATATCATAAAATCCAGTATCCATTAAATCTATTCAGATATTTTTCTCCATTTTCCTTATGCTTCCTCTTATGACTCCCATATTCTTAAGTGATTAGATCTGGCTCAGAAGGAAGAAACTTTCACTTTGTCTGTCAAAACCTAAACTATTTGACCTTCGAGGCACAGAACAAAATCTATAATTTTTGGATAAAACGTGGTACCCCTGTCACTTATTTAAGTAATTTTGGGAAATTAAAAAATGTATAATCTAAAATTTTAAAGAAAATTAGTGTTACTAGAGGCATAACAAGGGCATCTGCCACAACTGGTATTCAACGAACAAATAAAGAGAACCACATAACAATTTAACAGTCTCAATTATAAATGATTCTAAAAAGTGTATGTTCTTCAGACAAAGTCTTACTTTATGTTAGCTTCCTATTTCCTAATTCAATCGCATAATTTTGTGCACTTTTTCCTAATTGTATTTTGGCTAAGAAGTTTTATTGTGTGAACTTTTCATTACTTATCTGAGACGGAAAACAATTTGAGGTATTTTGAAATTTAAAATACACACCGATATTTTCTTCAAGCTAAGGACTATGAGACTATTGAAAAGGGCTAGGCACTGGCTTTCTGGCTATTACAGGCACCCTAACATAGATCTGAGGAGATGGGTACACGTCTACCATTCAGCACTATATTGAGAAATATATTTTTCTAAAATATAACTGGAAGAAAGTTAAAATACCTTTAAATGCAATATTTGTTTTTTTATTAGCAAGGTGTTGATATTATAAAAATAACTCCAATCTCCTGATAAACATCCTTGAATATTCCCTACCTGTCAGAAGGTGGAGCTCTAAACATATCTCAAATACTGGCTTTTATAGATGCATTTCACAACTGTGTGTAATGAGGAGATTAAAGCAGGAGTAAAGTCTTTAGAAAAATGGTTCTGAAGAATATTCTAATTCTCTCAGGATAAAATAACTCACATCTCCCAATGTGTACACAGTTAACCAACAAAAGGGATGTTTAGTATATTCCTTTGAAATTTCAATATATTACCCAACTATAAAAATTGAGGTACATGTAAATCAAATAATAAAACACCAAGTCTGTTTAAAAGGCAAAACATTTTTAAAAATCAGGAGTATCTAGTCAAATGTAGGCAAGGTCATTAACACTTACAAGCATCTCGGATGTAGAGTAACATGGCTATGAAGATATAATCTACTAAACCCAGGCTGAGGCCGTCTGCAAACAAGGCATCCCAGACCACCAGAAGGTCCTGCAGGGGGAACTCTCGTCCAAACAGCAGCCGCACCCACCTTCTGGAAAGAAACAAAACAAAAATTCAGAAGACAGTACTTTCGAGAGTAATGTAAAGAGTGATCATTTTCTCAGGTAACCGTGAAAAACTATTAACTGAACACACTGAGCAAATATTATATATCAAAAATATAATATAGTAAAACCTAATTTTTAAGCTTTCAATGAATTTTATAATTGTATAACTAGGCCATAATCATTAAATGCTATTATATACACAAGTATTACACACATATTTGAAAAATGTCAAAATCTTTCATATTTAATAGAAATCACAAATTCCCAAAAGGTGAAGAGAAAATGAGTATTTAGTAGTCTAGTAGTTGCTTTCATAGGTAAGGTTGTAAGTTAAAAATAAAATTTTCCAAAATGTCATGATCTCTACTGATTTACTGTTGTTGTTAATTGCCCTTTTGCAAATGTTTATATGACAAATCCGATACAAACTTAGAAAACTGCATTCTCACATCTCGCTTCTATTTAAAATAATTCATTTTAAAATTAAGTGTGGGAAAAGGCCTGTAGATATCTATTTTTTTGGCCAAGCATAGATAGTTATTTTAAATGAAAGATATAGTCATACTTAATTTTTTGAGCTTTGCAACCAATATACCTGATCAGTAAGGCTACCTTTCTAGGAGTGCTTTTCTATTACCTAGAAAGTGCTTACTTCTATTACCTAGAAAATGAGTATCTATGCCACAGAGTAAACATAAGCAGCTAAGCAACATCAATGTATAAATATACATCATAAATAGTGACACTTTAGACTTTCAATAAATGCTAAACTCTTTATATCTAATTCTTATAAGAAAAAAATTTGGTTTGATGTTTTTATTCATTGACCTCTAATTTTACATGACATGGCTACAATTTCCTTACATAAATCTTCTTCTAAGGACTTCAGCTAGAATTCTATGTGATTCTAACACGTAGCAAAAGATTAAAAATTTCAAATTTCTAGCAGCATCAAATAATATAGAATAAATCCTTTAAAAATTAGTAAAGAGATGTTACTTCTATGTAAAATTTGAAACCAAATATAACCATCTATGGGGTTAAAGCAAGGCAAAAAAAAAATCAAGTACTTTCCTCAGAGAGTAATATATTTAAGGAGAAATCAAAGATATGACAAAATGCTGTATACTCACAAATATGTATCATAGTTTATTAGGAACCATGTGATTGAACACTTAAGTTTTTTTATTCACATCATCATATTAATCAATATAATAATTAGATTGTATTTTCAACTACATCAATTACTCAATTTTTCAGTATAAAAAATTAAAATGCCCAATACTTATCTTTTTAAAAATGTTACAGTATCTTTTATAATTTTCCATTTTAAAATATTTTAAATGTTCAAATTTTAAAAATTTTATAGTGTCTTTCATAATTTTTATCTTTTATAATTTTCAATTTTTACTCTGCTGCTATTAATTAAATGAGGGGCGGTTAACACAATTTTTTTTTGTCTAAGATGGCTGTGTTTACATGGCTTACGAAAAAAAATACTTCTCCACACACTTCTAATTCTTTCAAATTACAAATGCTAATATTTACTATTCCAAGAAGTACAAAAACATCTCTAAATTAAATAGGCCGCTTTCTTAATTACAAAGAATTAACTGATACTGCAAAGAGTATCAGGGGAACCAGAGATGGGCACAGCAAAAAAATACATGAACTAAACCATTTTGGGCCCCTGTTCAAAGGATTTTTAACCGATACAAATGTTTGCATTCTTAAACGACTAAAACATGTAGAACATGGTTACAATTATTCAGCTGACACAACTGGAAGAAAAATCCATCAATGAGGAAACTAGATGAAGGTTAATACACAACTACAGTTAAGAATACAATCTTCCCCCTCTTTCCTTACAGCTCAAATTCTTGCCATTTTCTTATCAGCAATCACATCTTAGATTTTATCACAGATAGTGCTTTAACAACAACAACAACAACAACAACAAAAAAACAAAGTAGCCCATTTCCTAGAAATAATTTCTATACCCATTATTTCTACACCCATTATTTCTACAACAAACTGTCAGTTATTCGTCAACTTGTCTTGCATCCTTTTTGACTCTGAAGATACACACATGCAGCGATCTTCACTGCAGCAGTCAGGAAGGTTAACTGCAAACATCTAGTAATCTACACTGAATAAAATACATCTTTATTTTCTGTGTCAAATTGTTCACATATTTAATATCTCCAAAACTACACACAATGCATGCCTTTAGTACTTTTATATTTAATGTGTTATCTACAATGTGCTGCTTTATAAATCTTTCATATTGCTTCACTCTTTAAGTACCTTGCCAAGTACACTGCTGTAAAATTCCACAGCAAGGACCAAATTCTGTGTGTGTGAGTGCATGTGAAAGACAGAAACAGAGAAAGAGAGAAAGAGATCCAGAAAGTTCTTTGTAAAGACCTCTATACACTTTGCTAAGCGCTTTATGTATTTACAGAAGTCTTGTTAACCCCACTGTAAAGCCACCTTTACTGAGAAGCAATGGGATAGCTAATTTGGAAGTACAGGCATTGATCTTGAAAGTGGTGGCACAAAAATAATCCAGGAGGTAGAAAAAATACCAAAAACACATAAGAAAAAAATGTATCATTAGATGCCTAGCATATTTCTCTTATATAAAGACTGTAATAAGTTGTACATGAGAGGATATTAAAGTAAAATGCTGTCTCTTCTATTTTATATGTAATTATAAGAAAATTAAGGCCAAATTCTCAAAATATTTAAGAAGAAGCATATAACTAATGGAATGCTTTGGGACCAACAATGACCTTATCAATAATTTAATCATTTTATCCCAGTTGGATTTAGTTCTTATATTTTTTATATATATATATTCACAACACACAAATTTCCTGTGCTATTTTGGGCTTTCTTCATTGAGCTTAAAAGCCAAGGAAAAAGCTCTTTACAGAATGAGTTAGTAATAGAAATTATTTCAGTAAGCTTTTATATTCTTGGAAAGAAAAACTTACTCTAAGAAACGAGGTCTTGTAAAGAAGTCATTCCTACAATTAACATGCTTTTATTGCAGTTAAAAATATTTAGTGAGAGTTTAAGTTACACTTAAGGGTAGCATTAAACCTTTTCCCCTTAAAGATAACTTCAGTTTAACTGCTTGATAGTATCAATCTTGCTTTATGTACGTTACACCTGCAGACTGCCATGCTCATAACCATATATATTTGATCACTTGTGATAATACAATAATTCATATTTTACCATATCTACTTAGTAATTAAGATCTGCAGAAACAGAAAAGAGTATCTGAGGTATTAAATTTAATAATAAACCACCCAAAGACAGGACATGTCTCTATGTTTGCATTTATACCACTATCCTTGATTTCAAACTTCTGTGTAATTAAGCTGCTATTCCCAGGGGATCAGTAACTACTGTTGGTGTTATTGCTCGGTGCATGACCCATGGAAACACCAAGAGAAATTCATTTTTACCAATGAGTTTATGAAAAGGACCAATTTGACTGAGCTTTAAATAAGCATAGCCTTAATCCAACTTGGCTGTAGTGGGTTATATATGGAGAAACAAAATTAAATCCTAGGTCCATTTCCCTATTCTTTCCCATTACTGGCTCTTTAGTGAGATATGGGCATAGTAACCTTACAAGAACAAGTAATGTAGAAATGCTATATTGAATTTAATTTAACAAACATTATAAGGGCATCTTGAGTAACCTGTGATCATGAAATGATGCCACTAGGTGAGCATTCTTACACAAAAAAGCAATGTTAGATTTTTGCTCAATGGTGTCAATTTGTGTTTTGCTTTCTGTTCACTTGTATTTTTAAAAGCTAACAATTTTTAAATAATCTATGCCTGCTATGGGATAAACACAGAATCCATTTCTGTATTAGTATTCAAGAAAAATAAAAGCAAGCCAAAAATGTTTATCTCTGTGCTTGGGTACTTCTTTGACTGATTTTAGGCTCTTATATTGGGTTTCTTTGTATTCAGTTCTTTTGAAATTAATACACTCTAAATTTTCCTTTATATCAACTCTGTGAAAACGTCTTAAAATTGTAACTAAACACTGAATTCATTATACTTAGGGTCACAAGGCATTCTCGTATTTAATTTGAACTTCTTTAGAAAACAAAGTCACAAAAAAATGGGAGCGCAAAATATATAATTTTATTCCAATTTTACACTTACTAGTCTCCTAAGGGCTCTGTAGAATACATTATTGAAGGATGCTTACCTGTTTGGTAAATTTTTTGTCTAATCAACTATTTCAATTAGGTCTTTAAAAATATCTGAATGCCTTGAGGACATATCTGAATCCTTTAAGCCATCAAGCTAAACTCTGCTTCAAAAAGAGAAAAAAACAGAAACTTTGAATTACTGTGTCTAAAGAATTCCAATTTGCTTTCTAAGTGTTCTCTGTAATCCATGGATTGAACCCAGCTTGAATTTGCCTTTTTGGGAACACATGCTAACCTAATTTAACCCCCACAGGATATGCACATGAAGTGTTAAAAGTGTCTTTTTGACTTTGGGGAAAATTCTCTCTTTCTTTCAGAGGGCAGTACGTAACCCCTTATTAAGGAAGGTTTCTTATTCCAAAAATAAGTTCCTAATAATTACCACCCATTCCTACTGTAATTTATTCTCCTTGGCAAGTGTTTGAAGCTGTTTTGTCAGAACAACTGTAATATGCCTTTGCAAAAATAGTCTGAATGTAAAGTAGAGCCTTGTACATCTACGTTTTCCCAGGGATATAAGAAGATCATGAAAATGTTGGCTATAGAAGATGACCATAATACGATAAATTTTTGATGCTTGAACATTTTCTCTCTCCTTCTCTCTCTCATACACACATACCTCTTTCAGATATATGCCTGCTATTTGGCTTACAAGTATGGTACTTCAAGGACTGATTAACTTTAGCATATATAATTTACCAGGAAATTCCAATAAAGCTAATGCATGATGGTAATAG